AGGAGCAGCGGAGGTCAGCTTCCCCCGCCAGCCCTCCCGAAGGTTTCTCCAGCGGTGGTCAACTCCCACACCTCCCGTGAGGGCCTGGGCCCACAGAGCCAGCCACGAGCGTGGCACGAGTCCTGCGAGAGAGGGGCCAGGCAGGCTGCGCCAGCCAACAGGGAGCTGTGGAGATCGCGAGAGGGTGACTTCTCCAGGGCGAGGAAGAGGCTGGAACGAAAGCCTGTGTCTATCATCGAGAGGACTGAAGGCTCAGAGATCGTATTTGGGATCGCCCCGTGTTCCCTGGCCCTCTCTCAGTCGAGAAGGGACCTGTTCAGGTTGTTCCTCAAGCAGGGCAGCGGCTCTCGGCAGCTCGTCATGAGTGAGTTTATCCTTCAGGCCACCGCCCGGGGAGTCCCTGTGCACCGCCTCAGAAGGAGAGAGCTGGATGCTCTTTGCAGAGGTCGGGTCCACCAGGGAGTTTGTTTGGAGGCCACTCCTCTCCGTTTCAAGAGTTTGGAGGAAGCTGAAAAGCCTGATTTGGGGGATGAAGAGAGTCCGAACCGACAGCTGATTTGGCTGGTGTTGGAGCAAATCCAGGATCCCATGAACCTGGGGGCACTCCTGCGCTCTGCGTACTTCTTGGGGGTGGACAGAGTGGTGACAAGCCGGAGGAACAGGTACGGCATTGGTTATCTGCGCCTTCAGCTTTTCTCTTTCTTTTTCTGCTGGCTCCCAAAGAGGTTTCTAGTCTGCATTGCTCAGCAGGTTCTTTAGAGGGCTTTCTAGGGCTGAGCTTGAGAGCTGAATTCGAGTAGCTGCTGGTTTGCGTTGCGCTCTGCAGAGAGTCTGCGGGACGTGGTATTCCAGGCTGGTAAGGAACCTCCCTGGATCCTTTTTGTTTTAACCCATTTTGTGTTTCAGTTGTCCATCTGTGCACAAAACTGCTGTAACCTATTTCCTGGGTTAATTTCTGAGCACTCCTGTTCTCCATAGGGAAACATATTCATATAGTGAGTGAGATCTTTAATGGACTAGTTGGAATTGGGTTGCAGAGGCAAGAGAAGGAAATAGAGAAACAAAAATTCTCCTGGATTTCATTTTTTGCTCTCATATCAGACTTTTTCTTTCTTTTTTCCTTGCAGCTGTCCGTTGACTCCAACAGTGAGCAAAGCTAGCTCTGGAGCTATGGAAGTCTTCGATGTCTACAGCACAGATGATCTCCAGAGCTTTTTGAAGGTAGAATGATCCACATTTTTTTTCCCCGTTTCCTTTCAAGAAACCTCAAATATTGCATGTATTGAACAGAGAGGAGGTACAGGAAAAGGATTCAGTTATTTGCACTGTCCTGTGTTCCTGCTCTGCATTCTTGTTTGCTGCCGGTGGTCTGTGCTGTCGGCCCACCTCTGACGGGCATGCATCCCCAGTCCCATTCCATCAGGTGGGGTAACAGGTCTGAGTTGTGGGTCTTTTTCTGGACGATGGTGATGGCAGGATAACGCTGTGTCTATCTCCCGTACCCAGGCTGCGAACTCGGTAAGTCAGGGTCTGTCTCTCTTTCTCCCCATGGGGACTGGAGCCAGCGCTGCTGCCTGCAGGAGGTCTTGCCCGGTGTGTGGTGGAGGCAGCATCCCGGAACCCAGGCACACGATGGCAGCATTAGGCAGCCTTTGGAGCAGGGGAGAGAGGAGAACCCAGAGCTGGTGTGAGCTGCTGGGAACCTTCTTATGCTATACATGTGTGGTGCGGTGAGATAGGGCCCTTTGCAGAACGTGCTGCAAAAGGAAAGGGAATGTGCATGGGAAAAACATGATTTAAACTGAAACAAAGCAGGGATGTTGCTTTGAATTGGCAGAGTGTGTCCATCCCCTGTGATAGCACCGTGTGATAGCACTGTCCTGACTTCTCATGGAGGTCCTCTGTGCCCTGGCCGAGCTGGGGACCGGCTGAGTATGGTGTGCACGCCGAGCAGGGAGCTGCAGGCTCTGCCCTCCCCTGTTTGTGTGGGATCCCCTAGACCTGGGGGGCTGTGCGGTTGGAGGGTTCACCACGGGATGGGAGGGCCAGAGGCTGCAGACCCTCAGGGGAACGGAGGTACCTAGTCTGTGCTCCTGAGGTCGTTGTGTGCCTGTGTCCCTTTTGGGGACGAACTTTAGTCTGCTGTGACTGCGAGGAGGCAGAGGTAAGCCTGGACTCTTCCCGTGTGGTCCAGCAGTACAATAGGTCTGTGGCAGCTGGAGCTCTGGATGATGGTGAAATGAAAGATACGTAAAATAAATTGATATTTAGTTGAAACAGCTGGAAAAATCACTTTGTTACTGTAAAGCTTGAATTATTAACATTTTGAGCTATTGCAGCAGTTCGTTTAATTGGACCCAGATTCACAGGCCTAACCCTTGGCATTGCCTGGCTGGTATAAATTTGATATAACGTAATGCAAAAAGTGCCACTTTCACAGGAAATGAAGCTGGCAAGAAGCAGCAGCTCTTTTATTGTTAAAATGGATTTCCAAGACGAATAATTAAGGCTCTTTTTACTAGGGTGCAGGAGGGAAGGCTGGTTCTCTGGTTATGTGAGGTACTGAGTGTGGAGTGCCCTACCTTTTGTATGAGCTGATTTTTGGCATCTGAGTTTGAAAATGTGCACTTGTGTTTGAAAACGTTACTGTGGGCTTCTGATGGCGGAGCCTGCACTTGAGAACTTCCACTGCATTGCTCTGTGGATTAGCCTTATGCTAATTTGTTTAACACTATACTTTTTGTATGCTTTCCTGGCAAAAACCTTCCTAGAACTGTTGTATGGGCGAAAAAAAAAAAAAAGCTTTTCAGTTGCTGTTTGTTTGCTTGCTTGCTGAACTGGAATAAACACCAGAAGGAAAATTACTTTTTTCTTTTTTTCTCTTTCTGAAATCAAGGTTTGTGTGCTGGTATGGGAGGACTTTGGTTGTAAAAATTCAAAGGATGCCAAAAAACTAGAAAAGCCAGTCAGCTTAACTGAAAACATTAAAAAATAAAAAAGTGTGTTTGCATACATGACTTATTTTCTTTTTAAGATTGAAAAGTAGGCAATTTTTTAACATTTGTTTCCTTTCCCTTTCTAGGCTAAAACTGCAGAAGGCTGGGAAGTCGTGGGAACGGTCAGCAAACCTGAGGATGTGGAAAATGTTCCTGTCATCAGTTGCTTGGAATTTCGGTGGACTAAACCCACTATTATAGTAATAGGTATTTCCATTTACAGAGCTTTGGGCTTGGTGGAAGTTCATGTGCGAGGAAACAATTAGGGTGATGTTTCACTCCAAAGCAGGTCTGTTACATTACATCACACTGTGGTCTAGGAAAGAAAAGCTGAGCAAGAAGTACTAGAATGATCTGTCTGCAAATGAAATGGAGACCCAGAAGAAGAGGGGGAGCCAGGAAGCCTCCCAGTAGGAACTACAAGAACAAACCAGTTTGTGTAGATGAACAGGGAGTTTAGTAGCTGCAGAGGGTCTAGATGGCAGTTTTCCGTGGCAGGACAGGTCCGGGTCAGTGCAGCCACAGCGTGGTGTTTTGCCTTGTGTTCTGTGGCACATCTGATCCTGTCCTAGAGCCCTGAACCTGGATTTTCTGTGTTGGTGAACCACAAACCTGTGTGAGAGACCCAGGAGGTACGTGTTTGCTCTTGCTGCGCTGAGGCTGTAATGGTGAGCTGTGCCATGTCTTTGCCCTGTCATGTTTCCTCTTAAAATACCAGGAATCTTATCCCTGTGCCCAGGTCTGGAAAGAAGCATGAGGAGCTGTTGTTGGGGATGGTCTGAACACAAAGTTGGGCTTTGTGGCACAGAGTCCCCCATAGAGACCAGTCAGTGGCTGCTTTTGTACACCTAGGAGAAGGCAGGAGCTGTTGGCTGCTGCGGTAGCAGCAGGAGGAGCAGGTGTAACCTCCACCCTGCCGGACCCGTGTGCTGTTTGAGCAATGGGTGCCACTTTCCTGAGCAACTAAACTGGGCGATTCCTACAGGGCCCTCTGCTTCTGCGCCCTCTTTGCGCAGAGGGTACTTGCAAAGGATGCTGTCTTTTGTAGGCAGAGTTTGGGGTTGGGCAGCCTCCCAGAAGGTGAAGAGAAGGGGAGTAACAGCCTCGTGGCAGCTAGAGAAAGAAATTCACCCAGGAGTGCTGCTCTAGGCACCCTTGTGTGGCCAAGCCGTAGCCCCCCACTTTGTGTCACCTGGCACAAGAGCTGGTTCGAGCTTTTATACTTGGAAGTAGTGTCATGCTGGCAATGAGCCATCAATGGGCTGTAATCCTGCCCCGTGCTGCGGTTTTCTTGGCTCAGAAGACATTCCTTTAATTAAAATGTTTATTGAACTCCTGGAAATACTGACAAGACAACACCGCAAATCTGGCATCTCTGCAAGATGTGTGGAGCTATATTATAAAGGGAGTAGGGAGGCTGGCAGTACTGCTGATGGACCACAAAGAAATGCATCCCAGAAACGATGACAACACCAGGAGAAAGGAAGGGGGTGAAAGTGGCAGTGGTGTCATTACCTTGAATTATGAGAGATTTCTCCAGGAAAAAGTCCAAATATCCTTTTGTCAAGGGAGATTGGAGGCTGATTGGTAGATGCATGAGGAGAGCTCCCGGACCTTGCAGCAGTAATGATTTCAACTCTCTGCTGAGCACTAACTCTTCGCTGAAAAGAAAATTGAACATTACAGTCATCTGATGCCGAGGTTGTTTGAAGAAACATCCTAGATCTGAATATGTAGCATACCTGCAGCTGCAGAGAGCAGCAGTGGTAATTTAGCATGGTAGTGAGCTTCCTAGCATTGCACAGATTGTCTTGTAAGTTAAGCATTTGCAGACTTGAATTCACCCTCCTGGCGTCCTCCTTGGAGAGTGATTTGGACAGTCCAGCTTAATGTTGTCTGCACTGGAGTCGTTGCCGAAGGTGACAGGCAGGCTGGCTGCCCTAAAGACTGGGAGCCTTGTGCGAACAGGATCAGATTGGGAGCACTTAGATGTCTGAGTAAGAAGAGTTTCTGTGTAATTTGCTATTCTTACACCTTCAGTCTTCAGCTCGGGGTTTAAGGCTGTTCATGGAATTGGTGGTTTTATCGTGATGCTCATTTTGCGTATTCCTCTGAACTGCCAGCGTGGCTGCTTCTGCCTGGATTTGAACTTCCTGCACTGGAAACTGCCGTTGTTGTAGTGGTATTAATTGTAAATGGAGCAGGAAACTTGTCAGCCAAGCTCTAACTCTGGTCTTTGAGGCCTGTCGGTGAGGGACAAAGCTAAGAGATGGAAGTCAAAGATCTGAAGTGGGAAGCATTTTGTTCACCAGTATAAACTAGGATTTAATTTGATTCAGTCAATACTCCCTCCCTCGTGTCACACTGTGCAAGTCTTTTTGCCCTGAATTTATGGTTCCTAATTATTTTAAGCAGTCAGAAACATAAAAAGCTTTGTAAAAGCTGGAAGCAAAATTGGTGCCTTTATTAGGAATTGTAAGACACTTATCAGGGAGAGGAGAGATTTGCTCCAGGAGCCGTGGCACCTCTGGCAATAGCTGCTGTCCCAGTTGGAGAGTCCCATGAGAGCGTGGTTTGAGAGGCTCAGGAGGAAAATACAAGAGTAAGTTGTGAAACTTTTCTGTGTTGAATCAGGAAAAAATAGGATAATTTTTTTTTTTCTTTCTTGAAGCATCCCTAGAGAGCCACAGTCTAGCGATGAAGAGGCAGGCCGGGCCGGGGGAGGCCTGGCTTTGATTCCTTGTGTCACCCAGGCTTCCCCTGTGACATTGGATAACTCACCCAGGCCTTGTCTGCACTGCTGGCTTACAGCAGGAGGAAAATAATGGTTAGGATGGGATTTTGGTTTTCTGAAAGTTCATTTACCCCAGCCAAAGGATGCTTTTACCTGTGTGGCTTATTTCATGTGGGAAGGTGATGCAAGATGCATTACCCAAAGCATTCTTTTCCTTACCCAAAATGCGTCTTGCCAGTTAGATCAGGCCACGAAGACATGAGACTGGGCCTCAGCTTCCAGTCTGTGAAATGGGAATAACAACACTTTCCTACCGTGTGTGGTTGGAGTGGCATCACACAGATGGAGACATCGGGACCTGCCGGGGAGGTGCTGTAAGTGGGCACCAGGAGAAGAATTTTGTGGCAATTCAGCCTAGCAAGGAGCTGATTTGCCTTATGGAAGAGTGAGTCTCCAGTGGCATAGAAAGTGCTTAAGTTGTCCATGTATGCTGTTAAAACTTCAGGTAGGCATCTAAATTCAGGTAAGCTGAGCGAGGCCTTGGTGCCAGCACTGGTCACGCAGGCAGAGGCGCAGAAGCCCCTGGCAGGCAGCGTGTGCCCCAACAGTGCCATCCCAGGACACGTCTGGGGTTCAGCCAGGGTCAGGGTTTTCTGTTAAAGGGGAACGTTTGGCTTCCAGCATGCTGAGCCTGTTTTGCCAGAGGGTGAGCATGTCTTTGAAAGGAGCTGGCTGTTCTTGCAGCCATGTAGCTGTCTGTGTAGCTCTAAATAATGAATGTGGAAGAATTCTTTGGGGAACCGAGCGGGCTGGGAGGTCTGTGGTCTTCTGCATTTTCACTTGTCTGCGTGCAGGATTGTTTAAAGCCTCTCCCTTTCCATTTCCCTTTGTGACAGCGTGAGTCAAACAACTACTAATGACCTGGGATAGATTTCAACTCTGTTTCACCAGTGTATCAGCCCAAACATATCAGGGCTGTTGGATGGTTTAACAACTAATCAATTGAAGCCTCTGGTTAAACTGTCTGCATTCACAAGTTGCACCCAGCTGGTGGTACTGTGTGCTGAAAAGGCTGAACCCGTCACTATCAATAGGGATGTGGGATTTGCTGGACCAGAGCGGACCTGTGTCCTCTTGTCTGCCTTGTCCCTCTGGCCGCAGCCCGTGTACGTGGGCAGCCGCCTGCTGGCACGGTGGCTGCTCGCACGGGGGATCTTTGCACTCGGACTATGAGGCTGTGTGCTTTACGCTGTGCATGCAGGCGTGTTGCACAGGTATTCCTTAAAAACACTTCAGGTACTGGAGAACAGATCTGGGGAGGCTGGAGTGGGCCAGGAAGGCAAGGCGGGTAAGGTCGTTCTTGGCTGTTCCTGCACTGGGAGCTGGTGAGGTTGCTGGTGATCTTAGGGGCAAGGGTGTAGTTGTGACAGAGCATTAGCAACAACTGTACTCGGGAGGGGGGAAAAGGGACGTGGCAGCGACCGTGAGCTGACCTGAGTCGTGTCTGTCTTCTGCAGGTAGTGAAGGTGACGGACTTTCCCTAGAGACACAGCTCCTGTGCCATCGGATGCTGGCCATACCCCCTGGCAGAGCGCTTCATCCTGGAATTGAGTCGCTCAACGTCTCTGTTGCTACAGGTAAAAACAGCTCTGAGCACAAAGGCATCATAGTCCAAATTCCTGTTTAAAAATTTCAATTTAAAAATCAAACAAACATCCAGACTCACAGAACAATTTTCTTGTGGTTTAAAAAAAGGTATTTTTTATTTATTTGTTTTCACTTTCCTACAGGTATTATCCTGCACTCCATCTGCAGCCAAAAGCTGAGGCACAGTGATTAAAATTTTTTTTTATTTGGCGGAGGACGCTGCTCGGCATTTTGTGGCTGTGCTCTGTTGGTGTGGATGTGGAAGTGCTCTTTCCAGGGTCTTCACCGTCGCTGCAAGTTACAGGGAGAGCTCGACTGACCTGAGCTGCATCTTGGCTGATGCACGATACCGCCAGAACCCTGGCTTCGTGCTGAAGTCAGACACCTGCATGTACTAGGTAACACCTCCCACCGGCACCTCGCAGGAGCGGCTGTAAGGAAGAGAGACAAAGCTGGGCTTTAAAAGCAGACAGCCAAATCCTTCAGTTCTTGCAGTAAAATAGCCAGTGATGGCCGTGAGCTTTGTGCTTGTTGCACTGGGGACTTTGTGCGTGACTTGTGCTGTGGAGAGAATTGGGGCTGTAGGTGAGAGACAGTGCTCGGCTGGTGCTGCTGCTGAGAGCAGCTGTGCCCCGTGCCCACCCTGTGCCCCCTGCCCGAGCCCACCGCCCCCTTAGCCACCGAGAGGGTGCTGGTGAGAGCCAGGTATGATTTGGGACTACTCGGTAGCGAATCCTTAACAACAAGGTGGTTTCTCTGTTATGTATTGCTGCTTGGACGTCTGAAAACACACCGTGTTTGGTTGTAAACCAGGTCTGCAGCCCTGCCGAGGGATGGAGACGAGCTGTAGTGGGGAAAAACGCAGCCCATGGAAATAAAGCCTCGGTAAAGATTGGTTGTAGACTCGATCAATCCTTTTTGTGTCACGTATAAATCCAGAGTGTGATGAGTGGAACCGAGCCCTTCCTTCGGGTGGGAAGGGGAAGCGGGAGCTTGTTCTCTTCTTCCGGGGAAGTTTCCTTTCCGTGGAGGGCCTGATCCTAGTGGATGCTGAGCTGCCCCAGCACCACTGTCCCCACTGGTGGCATGGGAGGTGGGGTGAGGGTGGCTTCATTTGCAAATATCCTGGTTGAAAACCAGGCTGGTTAAATTATTGAGAACCAAATGAATGTTATCACTTAGCACCTTAATTATTTTATTTAGCTACTGTGGCCCTTTGCATAGGATTCCTCATTAACACTTAATTTACAGTGCCCTTTAGGGATAATTTCAAACAATTCAGCTTAGTCTCCCTGCTCCCCCCCTTCCAAATGAACAAGTAAATCACTCAGAGTGACTAATTAGGACTTTCCGTTGAGCTAAATGAAGTCTGTAAACCGGTCTGTGGATGTGGAGGTTTTTCACATGGGTCCCTGGAGGGCCTGGCCGGTGGGTGCTGGGGCGGTGGGTGCTGCGGGGCTGGGGGCGCCCCAGGTGCCCGGCCTGGGGGGACAGGACAGGACACGGAGCTCTTGAGAGGTGTCGCTGCGGCTGTGGTGGGGGGTGCCTGGGGCGGTGGGATGTATCCTGTGCTGTGTCGGCCCCTTCGCCCTCTCCGTTGGAAAAGGACGAGACCCCGATCCCTCCGAAACGGGGCGAGCAGGGCTTTGTTGCCCCAATCTGAAGGTGAACGGGTCACTGAATAACAGTGAACTGGTGCATTGCTGGGGTGACAGCTGTTGCATTTTGTGGGCTGAATGTCTCTTTTATTTTTATTTTTTTTCTTTTTTTAATACTGACATAAAAAGGCCAGGGGCTGGGGAGGCTGCAGGCCCCCCCGCC